GATATCGGAGCCTTTGTAACCAGTTTTGTGTCTTTTGCTGAAAAAGTGTCAAAGTATTCAAATGCATATGTGTATCTGAGAGGGTATTTGTTTGTTTTTGTTTTTTGTTTATTTTTGGTATGGTTCTTGTATTTGTTTATACGGTATGTATAATGGTTGAAAATAATAAAAACATTGATGGAAAAAAAGAGGCCTTAGACAGGAGGAATTAAAGCAGCTGCAGGAATGAGGAAGTGGGACCAGACAGAACCAGGGAAGAGGAGCCTCGGCTTTATTTATCCACAAAAAAAAACAGAATCTCTGCTCCAAAAACTCAGCTCGGAGCTTGAAAAAGGAAAGAAAACGGGCAGAAATCTGCTGGGTTTTTTTGCAGGTTTGGGCTCTGACACAGAGTGAAACCAGCTCTGAGGACTCAGCAGTTAGAAAACCAGACGATTCTTAGAAATCTGAAGCCCACTATAATGCCAAATGTGTCATATTTGATAGATCCGGTTTCTTTTGGATGTGAGACTTTCTGCATCATTCAGTGGTAAAAGCTTTGCTCAAACCCCTGTTGTACACATTCAGATATACCTGATAACAGCCAGTAGAAGACTACACCAACATATACGGTAGTTTTGACGCTAATTTGATCAAAATAATTTCTGTTTTTTTTCTTCATATGTTGTTGAGGGGCCAAAAAAAGACTTCAGACTAAAAAAAACCAATATTCTTCCTATTTTTCTTGGATCGGGCTTTAAAGGGTTAAACTTTTTCTCCAAATTTTTCCAACTCGCGTCTCAAAAGTTACAAATTAAAAATGTTTTTTGTTATTTTTTTGGTCCCTTTAACTCCTGAGAGTTGCGGATGGGATGAATTTACAAGTTCTGATGGACCAAAGCAAAGATAAGATAAGAAGGAGAGAGAAGCAAAGAGGAGAAATAAGCTCCGCCCACTCCGGGTTTCCACTTCCTGGTGTCTGTCCGGCTCTTTAATACCGTCCTGTAGGCTCAGGACAGCCAGAGGGAGACAGCTTTGCTCTTAGAAAGCTGCGTTTTTCCTCTTAGACGAATTTCTGTGATGGTTTGGAGGAAAGTGGAGACATTTCTTTGATCTCTGAGGATGAAGAGGAGGGTTAGGATCCCCGCGGATCCACTAAATGTGAGTTTCTGTCCATTTTTCCTCTCAGAGTTCAGCTCTGTTGTCTTTGAAAACTGCTCTCAGTGTCTCATTATGTTTCTATTCTCTACAAGTAATAGTATTTTCAACATCAAATCAGTCAGAATACTGAATAAAACTTTCCAAAGTGGAATTTTAGCTCTTAAAATCCTAATTTAAGAGGTGTGTTTGTGCTCTAACGCGGTCCTAAAATCATGTGTAATTATCTCAGACCTCGTTCAAGTCGAAATCCTTTAGTTGACGGCACGTTCTCCATCAATAGAATAGTTTTCTACTCCGTGTGAGGTCTTAAATAAGAACAAAAGAACAGATTTCATAAGAAACTGATGTCATCCGTGAGCCATTATGAAACTAAAAAAATGGTTTCTGTGGAATTTGATGCACACGCTGCGGTTTTGTTTTTTTTTTCTTAGAAATTTGCTGTGACAGAGAAATTAAATAGAGCTCAAAAGGAGAAGGGCGAAAGCTTTAATTCGTAAGCCTTAAACTGTAAAGGCCTCTGACCTGCTGCTAAGTGGCTTAAATCGTCCATTAACTTAACGGTTGGTTTATTAACTCAATGACTGGCAGCCATTTTCAGAACAGATTCCCATACTGCCAGAGTTTTTTGAGCATTTTGACTGATTTTTCAAAAGCCACAGAATAGTTTGTGCTATGACTATGTAAACACCGAACACACCAAAAGAAAGAGTAGACTCTCTTCTTTCATCAGGAAAAAAAATTGTGTTTCTACCTTATTCCGTTCTTCCTGGACTTGCGTCTCACCGGCGACATGTTCTCTCATAGAACCGTTCCCTTTTTCTTATTTGCCTACAGTCTATGCTCATCTCCCATCAAAAGTGGCACTGCCCCCTAGAGGGTCAATTTGTTACTACATACTCTGTCTAGAAGCCCATATTTACGGACAAGCTTTAGCAGATCGTCCCCCAGACACTCTCGCTGAAAACATAAAAGACGTCTATAGACGTCTTTGGCAGCCAATGAGTTAAGGGAAAACAGACCCTGTCAGGAGATAAAACCACTAAAGTTGGAGGTCTGTGAGCAGCTAGAGGAAGTGAGGAGGAATAAAGTAGACGAACGTTCTGCTTAAAGCCTCAGATGGTCAGTTCTGTCCTCCGGACGAGTGGAGGAGCAGCTTCCTCGGTTTGTCCCCGTGGGAACCGTTCGAGTCATGTGATCAGTGAGAGGTCATGTGACCGGGTGGCAGAAGGACTTACTGCGTCCAGAGCGTGCAGTTCAGGCCGTCCGTGGAGAAAGAGCCGGCCGCACAGGCCTCGCACTGCGTGTCGGCTCTGGAGGTTCCTGAGAACCAAACACACACGTTCTTAGAAAACCCAAACACACCGGGTTCGTCCTGATGTCCCTATATGTCCCCAGGCTATGTCTTATTACTAAGTAAGTAGGCTAAATTAGTGAGCAGAGCATGTGTTAAAGTTTAAAGTTATTTATCTACTTACTTAGCTGTCAGACTCATGTTGAACAGGGATTTACTCTGATAACAACTTAATGGTTAGGACACAGACCTGTGGGTTAAAGATGCTAACGCTAATGCTCTGATAACAACTTAATGGTTAGGACACAGACCTGTGGGTTAAAGATGCTAATGCTAATGCTAATGCTCTGATAACAACTTAATGGTTAGGACACAGACCTGTGGTTACAGATGCTAATGCTAATGCTTGTGTTGGATTGGAATTTTAAAAACAAAAACTGGATCTGGAGTCTGGATCTGCATTTTCTCCTTGCAGCCGATACGCAGTTTTTTGCTAATAATGGCATCCGATCAAGATATCCGACCGGGACCAGCTTGGGCTAAATAACTCTAATCTTTAATACATGCTCTGATAGGCCAGGATCGGGACATCCCCGATTTATTCTACTTACTTAGCTGTCAGACTCATGTTGAACAGGGATTTACTCTGATAACAACTTAATGGTTAGGACACAGGCCTGTGGGTTAGCAGATGCTAATGCTAATGTGGGATCGGACTGGATCTGGAGTCTGGATCTGCGTTTTCTCCTGCTGGCCGATCCGGCCTAATCTAAATAACTTTAAACTTTAATACATGCTCTAATAGACCGGTATCTGGACATCCCACATCCACAGGAACTGCCTCCTCTGTTCCAGGCTCAGCGGGTTCTCACCGGGTGCTGTTGTCCTCTGGCCCTGAACGCACCGCGAGTGTCTCTCCGCCTGGCTGCAGCCGCCGTTTTCGGCCTCCGTTTTGCAGAAGAATCCGTCCTGGACGCCGCACACCGTGTCACGTATTGTCGAGCACGGCCGGCTGACGAAGAGGCCTCGACCTGAGGGGGGAGAGGTCAAAGGTCAAAGGTCAGGGCGGGGTCAGGTAGGGATGGGACGGTCTCTGAAAACCGTCCGAACCGTTGGGTTGGACTGTCTCGGTTCGGTTCGCGTGTGTTGCGTTCGGTTCATGCACTTGTTAAGGTTTTTCTGCCTTATTCCTCCTGGTTGTCACGAAGGTGCCCTGGTGAAGGGGTTTTGTCTCGTCTTTTTCTAGTCTCGTCATTTCCTGTTTTACTTTGA